CCTCCTTATATTGAACACAATGCTCATGTAACCGAGCTCTCACTTTCTCCTGTAAACCATTGTTTAAATGTCCAAGTCACTAAAGGAAAATTAGCCCTTTTTATGTCTTATCGTGGCTGAGCTGGTCCAACTGTGCACCAAATGCATTCATATACATGTGCAAGCACACCTGTGCATGCCGCACACAAATTATTACTTCCTTTCACCTCACAAATGGATGTGTTGTTCCCTGCCCCCACAGCACCTGAGTACATTGTAAAAATTACAACCATAGTGAATTATGTAATATATATTCAATATTTAGTCAAGACTAGAGAATCAGAAAGACATCTAACCACTATATTGTTTTCTTGTATTGAATGACTATGAAGATATGCCCCTTTGCACATAATGGTTTTTCAATTTACAGGCGTGCAAAAACAAACCCATTCTCCTACATGAGAAACATATCTCAGTGCTTTGCGTGCACCTCATGCAATATCCTTTATTTTTCCCATTCTAAGAGATGCCACTGTCATGTTGTTCTGCTCTGTCCTGATTCATTTTTATGGTTTAGCTTTTAGAAATATGCATACAACAGACAAGTGCACTGAGAGAACTGCACAAGAAGATCCAGTTTCTTTTTAGGTTTTATCTATAGTATGCACAGCTCTTCCCCACTAAGGGCCTATTGACTTCTGGCTTACGTCACAAAGGCCTGACTCTTGTATGTCAAGAGGAGGCAATTTTCTGAAATAACTCTGTTGCTTTTGAATTCTTTTTTTGCAGCTAAAAGGACAAATGAAGCTAAATGAATATTGCAGGAACAGAAGTCAATTGCTTGAGAAGAGGAATACAGCAGTGTAAATATTTCATTTTGCAGTCAAGGTCCTGCTATAAAGCTGTCAATTTGTCTAGGATAGCAGGATGTCAAGTTTCAGTACTGTTCAAGACTAATGGTGCATCTGAGGGGAATATTTCCCCCATGACAAGATGAAAGGAGCAGGAATTTGGCCAAAAACCTAAATATCACTTGATGTCAGAGCTGAGCTGTCTCATGTTCAGGGCCTTGTTTGTCTCTATGCTCCACTTCTGACACGGTCAAAGCTCAGAGTGAAACCCAGCCATGATATCTTTCTGGTTTTCGTAGTTGTTCTAGTTGACACGTGGCTGTACCTCTTTCACCATATCATAACCCTTTGGTCATCTTTGTCCGGAGGATCACATTTTTATCATTTTTTTTTATTGCGGTACTTTGACAGTCTTGTGGTGCCCACACGCAAACACCATCCTGCTTAGCAGTATGTTGCAAAAGTGTTTCCCATTTACACATACACTAGCACATGCACGCGCAAAGAGTTTTGTTTGTTGTCGGTAACTGATCCTCTGTGGACGCTGCAGACCTCCAGACGCCAGCTCAGCCCATGACGGCTCCGGGTTCTGTGGCCACCAGAAAGCACCACACTCCAGGAGAGGAGCAAGCCAGGAGCAGCACTCAGGGCGAGGCCACTGACAAGCAGTGCAGTACTAGTGAGTATTCAAGCACATTCTTTCTCCCCTCACATCTACATCCACTGTCCAGTTTTGTATTTAATAGATCAGATACACTTTCAGTTTTCAGTGTAATGTCTTAATTTGAATAATACAACAAATGAAAATGGCATGTATATAAATATTGGGAACTTTCACTTAATATTTTGTAGCATGTCCTTTTGAGGCAGTCACTGCAATCAAGTTGTTTTCTGTTGCTTTTAACGAGAGTTGCACCTTCTCACTTGGTAGTTTGGCCCACACTTCTTGACCCAGCTGCTCCAGTTCTCTTAAGTTTAATGGGTGCCTTCTCCCAGGTGCAAGCTCCAGCCCTTTGCGTATATTTTCTGTTGGATTAAGCTCAGAATTCATAGTGGGCCACTTCACAATGCTCTGTTTCCTTCTCATCCACTCTCGCTGCTTTATGGTGAACGTTTTGAGTTATTTCCCTGTTGGATGAGTTGTGACTTAAACTGAGCTCTCTGACCCTGGGCAGTATTCATTTCCAGAACGCCCTGATACTCTGATTGTACTATGGCCTGCAAAGATTCAGAGTCCCTTTTGCCAGATGCAGCAAAGCAGCCTCATAACGCAACAGACCTTCCATGTTTTTCAGTGGCTATGGTGTTTTTTTGTTTGTTTTTTATTTTATTTTATTTTTTTATTTTTATTAAGTGTGAATGTGGGGCTGATGTGATGTACTGAAAAGCATTTTACCAAATGCCAGTTTTTTTTTAATGTTTATCTTTCAAAAGTGGGGTCTTCCTGGGTCCTCCTCCATGGAGCCCCCTTTCATTCATGCAGGTATGATGCTCCTGATGCAACAGAAAGCAACTGTGTTGTATTACAGCAGTATCCCAGATGTATGTGTTGCCACACACCTGCCTGCTTATTTTGTAGCAGCGGAGAAGAAACACAGCGAGCAGCCTCATTAACAAGGCCGCTCTCTCCTAACTGCTAAGAACATGACCACACCATAGAGCAATTACATGCCCACCTGTGGCAAATGGCAGGTGTCTAAGGGTGAAAGGAAGGGCCAGGCATGGGCAGGGGGCAGACTAATAAGACTGTTACCTGAACGAATCGGCTGTTAGAGGGTTTTACATGTAATCTGAAAAATGTGCTTTGGCTTCCACCTGGACAAAATATGGAGAGTCAGATGGGCTAAATATAAGTCATTACAAGATGTACAGAGTCTTATGTGAAACATGCGAGATTCTTTAAGTAGGCTGTATGGAATATATAGTGACATATGTGATGTATGACATTGTAGCCAATGTTCGAATAGGTTTTTGTGACTGTGTAGTTCAGCTGTCCAACACAAGGTGGTGCTTGTATCTCATGAGAGTGTCTCTAATGGAACCCCTGCTGTGTGCATAAAGCATTTCTTCTCCCAGAGAGATGGTCTCCTTTTGAGAGATGAGAGCTCCCGTTGGCTACTATAAATACTGTTCGACTCTGAGCATGTCTAAGTCTCGAACCCACTGCGATTCATCTTGCCGAGCTAGGTCAGGAAAATCAGTTATATAGTAGGGAGGAAATATTCAGGTTTAATTATATAATTTCGACCGAAATAATTCAGTCCAGGGTAAACTAATTGAGCGTTGATGCAAGACATTAATATCAGGCCTTATCAGTAGTTTTTGAAGGCTTTATTTCTGGTTAAGGGGTTCTAATGCAGCGGAGACATTACAGTTACTAACAATAGCCACAGTTGCCATTGCTATAGCTGATTCAGCCACTTTGATTTACTGCCAAGATAGTCCAGGTATAACTAATAAACTTGGTCTGAGTGAATATTATTAATGCTTATGTATTAGGCCTCCAACTAACAGTTATTTACAGTAATCATTAATTTATTGCTCATTAAATCTATATAATGTGTAAATAATTAAAGGTTTGTGTTTGCAACAATGTGAAATAAAAGAAGGGTATTCAGATAGACCTCTCTTCTTTTTATAACGGAGCCAGCCAACAGTATGGCTGTATTTGCTGCTTATGGCTGCCATCTTCCACAACGAAGCCAAATGTCACAGTTGCAGACCACCAATTTAGAAGCTCTTCTGAGAGTCTGTATCAGCCTCCATCAGAGGCTTAATTAATTACGCTAACTCAGGTGATTAATTTGTGACATCGGCAGTCAGTTCTCACCTGGAGCACCTCAGCAAGGCAGCTATTAGGCTAATTGATCACAGAGTCAGTTAGGTCTTGAGATATGACAGAACGTCTTAATGAAAGCTCAGTGCATCTGGTGGAGGGGTTGCCAATTTCTCTGCCATTACAAAAGAAATAAACTAATTGTTTCTGTGAGGTGTAAGCGAATGCTTTCAGCCGTGTCTGCATACGATTGCTCGGTGACCTGAATAGGGTGATTAATGAGAAATAGCCCACAGAATGACCATGCATCTGTTTGCCCTTTGTACTTGACACATCAACCTTGTAGGACAAGTTAAATGACAGTAGTGCTGAGTCCACTGCCAGGCCAGGAAATACACACCACCACTATGACGCATAATAGTAAATGAATTTGCACTCACTGCAGCCACGTCCTTTTGAGGTTGTTGGTTTTCCCTTCTTCTTCTATGGATGCTGTGAGCACATCTGAAGGTTAAGTTATCAGTGATCATCACCTGCCAGGGAAACCTATCTGAAGCTGTTTTGGTACGTACGGCTCTATAGAGCTTTTATCTGGGCCCACCCTCTACCTTGCTCCTTCTGTCCCTCTTTTGTATTTGCCTAAAGCTTCAAATTTCCCGTGTCAAGCAGATATAATGGAGAGTCTTGGCAGGGATATGACGCACTATTTGGACCCTTGGAGAAACTTACATAAAAGGCTTTTTGAAGGCTAAGGATATTTCTAAATCTGGTATTAAAAAGCAGTGGCTGTGGTTAAGCTCAGTTGCTGAGGTGTAGATAGCTAGTGCAGCTGCTGCCGCTGCCAGGTCGGTCAGGGGTGGGAAGATGGAGAGCTTGCTGCTATTAATACCCAGGAAAACAGGAAGAATGATGTGGTTTTCATTAGCTTGTATAGATAACTTTGTTGCGGTTTCTCTGCTTTCCCTTTCTCACAGCCCTCCCCTATCTTGACTGTCACTGCCTCCAAGGAAGTGCAGAACATTACCTGGGCCACATTCTGGGTTTATTTGCTGTGCGTCACTACAAGGATCCGGTTCATATGGAGTGCCTGTCTTTCATACATAATTAAGCCCTCTGTTTTTCCCTCACACGTTCGTGACTGTTTTTGTAAGCTAAATCAGTGTTGTTGTTGTTTTTGTTTTGTTTTTTGTGACAGTCAGAAGGCACTGATGGCTTAACCAAATATCAGTGTCTGATTATTCTCTTGCTTTCCTTAAACATCATACTCAGACATAAGAGGCATGCTGCTTTTATAGTTTGGCAAAAGCCTTTCCAGTCAGTTTTTTGGCATGGCTCCTCCATGTTTGCCACTGACAGCTGACAAGCTTGTCCTTATTCAACTGTTGAACTGTTTGTGGAAGAGAAGAATAACGATGCAGGTGCTGCATAATGTGTCCTCCGCGTCACTCAATAGCATGCCCAAGGCAACAGCCACCAGGCTGCATTGATGTAGATGGAACACCGCTGCGTCTCGCCTCTCCCCTGCTTTGTATGTCATAACAAAGTAAGCAGACGGCTCCTCTCCCCGTTGCCAGTGTCAGTCCATCACAAGACCTTGATGGAATATTTAAAGTCATAATAAACACTTCCTCTTCCTTTTACCTCCGGTTGAAGTAGTTAGTGGGTAAAAGGATGGCCTGGATTTTTGCTCAGGATGAAAGGACAACAGACATTCTGCCTGTGATGTGTTATGACGGTCACAGTGCTCAAGGAAATAGATTAATATGAAGGCACTTTTGTCATTAAAGAAACACAAAGCACTGTTCTCTTAACTTGATTTTCTTGACTGTGCTTTTCTGTGTACAAGGACAAAGGATATACAACATTTAACACTGCAGTGAATTGAGCCTTAAATGAGATGTGGACAGTTGGCAAGTTTACAGAGCAAACTACTAAAATCTCTCACCATCCAGAAAAGATTAAGGAAGTCTTACCTGTAGTTTCCACACATTTTCCTTTCCATGTCACTCAATCACTCAGTCTTTTCTTCATCTCACATCTTCTGTTCCAAATTTGAAAATTGTAGAGGAAAATGTGATAATGAGATTCTGCCCTGAAGAAGACCCTGCCTGGTTTGGCAGAGAAATTTAGAAAATGCAAAACAGGGTTTTCTTCAAACTAAAATTTTGACTAAAGGCACAGGTTTTGCACTGGTACATTCCAGCATTTGAATTAGATTATTCACTTTCAAACTTTAGTTTGGATCAGAAATCGTACATTTCAGTATATTTTACATGCACCACAAACTCTTTTGCAATGCACAGATATAGATGACAGGTGAAAAATGAGACTGTTTTCTGTGAATGTGATATTTCTTCAGCTTCCTAAGGGCTAAAATTAAAACATACTCGTCTTCAACAGAAGAAAAACTGTTTTGCCTGAAACTGAGATGCTGATGTTATTACTTATTAGAAATGGACGCTGATTCTTCCCAAGCTACTTCTCTGCTACCAGGTGAAAACAATCTTGCGTTGCACACTCTGACACCCTGTGGCACTCACTAATAAAAAATCTTGCAAAGCCCTGAATGAATAAGCACTGAGCATAAGCTGCCATTTGGTGGGCACAGATGCCCCTTGGATCATGGTGGCGCCAAGCGTGAAATGAATGTAAAATCATCCATGATGCCACTTGTTTCTATTTATTGTTTTAGGGTGCAGATGAGCTGACATCAGTGTTATTGTCTCTAGTTTCTTCGTGTGTCTGCGGGTCTTTTAACTCCCAGCACATCACCATGCACAGTTGATGGTGCGTGTACGCAACTGACAAGGTTGGGCGGTGATACTCTTCACAGGATTTTAATACCTTGTTTTAATGCCTGTGCAGTGCAGGTAACTCTATATGATATTGTAAACAGCTTACAT